GTAGAGTTCCTCCCTCCACCAAATTTAGTCATAGATATCAGTTCCCAAAATGTACCAGAGGTTTTTTTTCATCAAGATCCATAAATCAATATCTGGGATTTACGTGAAGAGTGAAGATAAAAAAATCCTGGATCTACATAATAAGTGTAGACATGTTTGATTTCTTCATAGTTCTCACCAACATCTAAAATAAAATTGATTTGTGGTTTACGGTGGCAGTGATAATGTAGATGTTTGTGTTCTGTACAACTTCTCTTCAGTCAGGATTGTTCTGACACTAACATGTGAAAAACTTACAGGGGAGGCAGCACCCAGACAGCCCTGGCTCTCAAGTACATCCTGAGGAAGGGTTACCCAGGCGGCCGCAACTCCTCAGCCGTGGCTCGTGTTGCCATCCTCCTGTCAGACGGGAGGTCTCAGGGCAACACGGTGCAGGCGGCTGCTCGGCTCAAAGAAACAGGCGTGGTCTTGTTCGCCATCGGTGTGCGCTTTCCCAGGTAATTATTATTATATCATCAATTATAACATTATTTTACACGTCTCTCATAATAAACTACAACACGTTTTCCTTTTGTTGTTTGATTTACTGTTTTCTCTGTGTCACAGGTGGGAGGAGCTACATGCTGTGGCCAGTGAGCCAATGGAAAGCCACGTGTTCTTCGCCGAGCATTTCTACGATGCCGTCAACGGCCTGTACACGACACTGAGCACGTTCTCTGTCTGCAACGCCACGCCAGCAGGTGGGAGATCATTGGGTCGACACTGGACAATAATGAGAATCTAAAAATGATCTTCTCTTCCTCTCTAACTCTCCTCCGTTCTCAACATCCCATCCTCTCCCTAACGCTGATTCCAATGGATCCCGTGGTTTTCCGTCGTCCAGGCTGTCAGGTGGAGTCGTTCCCCTGCGAGAGGAAGACGCTGGAGACGGTGAAGGAGCTGCAGGGGAATTTCATGTGCTGGAAAGGCTCCAGGGGTTTTTCCACGTACACGTCCCTCTGCCCCCACTACAGGCAAGTGAACATGAATGAGTGAAGTTTAAAATTGTGCAACAAAAGAAAAAACATCCTCCAATTTACTGAAACTGTTTTAATACATTTTCTAAGCAGCTGCACAATACAAGCACCTGACCAGAAAATACAATTTAATTAGTTTTGCATTTCATGTGAGTTGAGTTTTCACTCGTTATTGTTTTTGTGTGTTGCAGGTACAGCAAGTCTTACAAGAGACACCAGACAGTTTGCCATCGCACGATCTGTCCAGGTGATAACCTAGTTCTTTCTCTTTGAATCCACATGCTGTTTACTCTTCTTCTTTTTTTTTAGATGATGTGTGTTTGTGCCTCTCACCTCCTGCCTCTCTCTCTCTCTCTCTCTCTCTGCAGATCCCTGTGACTCTCAGCCCTGTCTGAACGGTGGAACATGTGTATCAGAAGGTCCAGAGGGTTACAACTGTGTGTGTCCGCAGGGACACGGAGGAGACCCTCACTGTGGTTCGTTCACTGTCATGTAGACCAGAAGGTCTCGATATTTGAGTCAAAGACTCTTTACAAAGAGACCCCTTTATATGTGCTCTCTGGAATCAATTGAGATAGTCTAATTGTTTTTACACATTCTACTGAGCTATTTGAACATCATGAGAAATATGTGACACAGATTACAGAGTTCTTTCACTGTTGGGGAAGCGACATGTCGTCCATCTTTATTTACAGTTTATGGTCCACTGAGATATTTGCAGCTGTTCACTAACGGAACGATTCCTCCTCAGCTCTTGCTTTATCACTCGACTGCTCTGTGGACCTGCTCTTCCTGCTGGAGGGCTCTGCCACTCTCCCCTTAGAGGGCTTCCTCCGCCTCAAGTCCTTCCTAAAGCGCTTCCTGCAGACGGTGATCGGGTCTGATAGCCCCACCAAAGTGGGCTTGGCGGTGTTTGGCGGCGAAGCTCAAGTCGAAGCCCCGGTGGGTAAGATCAGAGGGGGCCTGAAGGGCCTGCTCAAGGCGGTGGACGCGCTCCAACCAATCGGCGGTGAAACAAAGACAGGACAGGCGCTTCATTACGTCACACGCCACGGCTTCATGAGCGCACCGGTCTTCGCTGATGTGTCAGACGACCTCCCCCGCGTGGTGGTGCTGCTCACCGCCAACCCTGCTGTCGACGACGTGGTGCAGCCGTCTAAATACGCACGGGACAGAGAGATCTTTCTTATAGGGGTGGGACCAGAAAGCTTGAAGGGACAGCTGGATAATGTCACAGGAAATCCACAGAGGACTCTCACCTACACGTCTCCTGACAGGTTCAACGCCAAGATCCCAGAGCTCAAGGCCAAAATCTGCAGCGTGGACACGCAAGGTACAGAACAGACGTTTACACAATCTCCTTTCACAGACAGAATGTTCTGAATATTCTTGAATATTTTTACTATTACTACTGTATACTGAATACTTATACTAAATCTGAATTGTACTTGGGTTTTTGAGGATTACGTTTTCACCCCTATTGGTGCTACTGAGTCCTCTCCAGTCATTTTGTTAGTTTTTACATGCATGTCCAAAATATGCATCAACTTGTATTAATAATAATGATATTTTATCTTTTGTGTTTCTCAGGTTGTCTGGGTCAAGCAGTGGACCTGGTCTTTGCCCTGGACGCCTCAGGTGGCGTTGGCCGTGATAACTTCTCCACCCTGCGTGACTTTGTTCGCAGCCTCACCGTCCAGTTCGACATAAACCGAGACGTAGCCCAAGTGGCACTTGTGGTTTACGGACGCAGAGCCACCACCGTCTTCAACCTGGACGCTCACGAGACTGGCTCCGCCATCCTCAAGGCGGTAGGTGGCGCCGAATACGTGGGCGGAGTGGCCTCGACTGGCTCGGCTTTGCTCCACATCCACTCCGACGTCCTGACCGTCGCCAAAGGTGCACGGCCCGGGGTCAACAAGGCCGTGGTGGTGCTGACCGACGGCTCGGGTGGCGGCGATGCTGTTGTACCGGCACAAAAGATAAGAGACAACGGAGTGTCCTTGTTTGTGATCGGTATCGGGGACGTGCAGAGAGAGAAGCTGCTGCAGATCGCAGGTTCAGAGGAGCACATGATCTCAGTGCCGATGTATGAGGACCTCAAGTACTTTGAGGACGTTCTGGTGCAGATGCTGTGTTCAGGTGAGATGCACTCAGGGAAAGAATTCCCAGAACAGCTTCTGCTGTTCCATGGACAGGAGCGAGGGGTTGATTCAAAAGAAATTCAATATAATCTGCCTCAAATTTTTTTAGTTTTTCTGCTTTTCCTTTCACTAACACTTTTTTACAGCTGTCTAGAGATAGAAAACAGAGAAATAGATGCTGTAAGAATTTAAATCTTTGAATGTATGTGACTTGAATTTCTGTCCACCAGAGGTAAAGAAGCCGGTAAACCTGTGCATCCCGAACCCGTGTATGAATGACGGGACCTGCCTCATGTCAGGAGGAAGCTTCCGCTGTCAGTGCCAAGGCTTCGAGGGACCACACTGTGAAACAAGTCAGTGAATTAACCAGAGTCTGGTTTTTAAATCTAAAACCCCCTCCATCAAATATTCAGTTTCACTGCACCCCCCCTCATCCTGATTGACATCCTGAATTCCCCATTTAAATTATTTGAGGAAAGGTTGGGGAATAGTGGTCGTGACTTTTTCTGTGGTTTTGTTTACAGAAAGCAGGAGGCCCTCGTCCAGAGGAGACCTTCCGAGGCCTGCAGGTCTTCGGAGGAAGAGCAGGCAGAGGAAGAGCCACCAGGAGCTGCTGCACCACTACAAACTGCACCGCAGGAGACACGCAGCCTGACACGCCTCAAACATGCTCAACACACATTTATCCACAGAAACCAATCACCTTCGAACTCTTAAGAACCAAGGATGTTTGTTGGAGTAAAGGGAAGATTTATCTTTTTGATATTTAAACTTGCACTGGAACTTGAACAAGTGCCTTCAAACTGTGTGTATCTCTACTCTGGTGTCCATTTGTGTCCTGGTTTGTCTTTTTGTTGTATTTGTCCGCCCCCACTGTGTATTCAAAGATGTAAACTTTTATATTATAAAATACATTATAGTGTGATTTTGTGTAAAGATTCTTTCTTTTTTACAGTTTAATAACAAACCGTATTTTCTCCTTCCAACTGAGATATCTGTCCATCATCATATCTATTATGGCTCACGGGGGCGCTAGAGCCAATCTCAGCTGACCAAGGGTGAAAAGTCATGCAATTCAAACAAAGGCAGAACCAGGATTCAAACCTAGAGCCCTCTTAGTCTCAAGGTGAGGGTGCTAACCACAAAAAGTCCAAAAGTGCTGTTTTCATGGTTCAGTATCGTTTTTAAAATGGGCCCTCCTGAAACTGATCAAGGTTTTTAAATGTAAAATGTGTATTTGTTTTCATTTTATTTTTTAGAAAGTATATGAAAGCACATGCAAACTTGATTTTAGTACTAGGTGCTGGTCAGAAATGGAAAAAAAAACAGAAGACACGTCCACACACCAGTTGAGGCTCCCACAAACCTTTTCAGTACTTCCCCAGGTGACTTTTCTTCAAACTGAAGAATCGTCTGGGGCATAATTAAAGTTTGTGTGACCCTCAACTGGTGCGCGAAAATTTCTTATTCAATACTTTTATATTTTAAAGTGTGCTTTACTAATATTACTCTGGGGCGGGCAGACGAAGCTTACAAAGGGACAAATTCCCTAAGTTTTGTCAGTCCACCTTTAGTAAGATTAAAGTTTCAGTAGAATTACTCGACTTGTTTACACCAGCTCAAACATCCTCACGTCAAATGAGTCCCGTTCATGAATATTTTACTTTCATCGGTGAGGAGTGAATGCGTTCACTCTAATTATCCTTTAAATGTTTAATGCTGCAGGTTTCCTGTGTCCTCTGCAGATGTAACCTTCAGTTTGTTTTCAGCAGAGAAGCTCCACTGATGAGTGAGAGGTTCAAAGGCTAAAAAAACTAAAGGAAAACTTTCTGAGCCGCTGTCGTCGTCAGTACATTTTTATTTGAATAAAAAGTGCATTTCTAGCTAGCAATACAGGCCGAGAGGCTGGATAATGGTGTAAATATATTTACATCTTGGCTACCAGCATACATGAACCAAGCTACAAAAGTGTGTGTACAAAATGGGCATTTTAGTCGAGGGACGTCTCTCTCAAGACTTCAGTGGTCTCAAATATTTGGCTGTTTGCAGCATTGAAACATCCCGTTTCATCATTATCAAGAACGATTGTTAGACTGGCCGAAATGCTCCAACATCAAATTCCTCTTCTTTGCAAAAAGAGAAGTAAAAACACTTGTGAAGTCTTTAGAACCAAAGTTATCCAGTGGTATTTGAAGAGACAGCTTGTGCCTCTCTCTGATTGGCTCTGTTTAGTCTTGGCAGGGAGGTGATGAGGATGAAGGATCCAGAGAAGGGAGGTTGTTGATTTATTGGTCTGGACTTTTAATTGGCAGCTCCTTGAAAAAAGTAGGACGAGTTGTGGATTTGATCAGGTCAGAGGAGACCACAGGATGTTCTCCTCCTAGGTGGTGGATTTTTTCTCCCACTCCTGTTAATACAAATAAAAAAAGGAAAGTGAAACGCATTTTTCATAAAACTTCAACAACATTCAAACTTTCAAACTAAAGTAACGCACCTTAGCTTTCTGCAGAACTTTGCCTTTCGTGGCCATGATGGAGGCCGGTCTGTTCTTTAGTGCAGAGGCGGAGTTGACTGGTGAGGCCGAGTCTGCACTGAGGATGCTGTTTGAGATTTGGGACGACGATGATGATGATGATGATGTTGTTGATGAAGAAGTTGATAATGATGATGATGTCGTCTGGAGAGCAGGCATGGTTGCTGATTTAGCCTGAGAGTAAAAGGACAGAGGAGGTTCAGCTATAACCAATGTTTCAAACAGGATTTATTTTAATCGCCTCAGGAGGAAGAGTAATTTAAAGGTTCTGAAGTTCTGCATTTATACAATAGATGGTATATAAAGATGGACGACATGTCAACATCTAGAAATGAAGCAAGAATATCCTGGATACAAACGCAAAGTCTGAGCTATAGCGATCGTTTAGGTCTGTGATTCATACTGACCGTGGGCGTGTCCTGGAGGCTGCTGTCCAATGTGGTTCCCAGCGTGAACTGCCCTGACTCCACCTTCTTCAGACTTTCCTTCACCTCCATCAGCCGCAGCTCCACCTCCACCCTGCGGTGCTCCGCCTCCCGACACGCCTCCTCCCTCTGCTTCAGAAGGGCTTCCAGCGAGGCCTGCTGCTTTGGATCTAAAGATAACAAGACACCCGTCAGTCAGGTCAAGGTCAGCGTCAACTTTGTTATCACGAGTTGGACAGGAAGTGAAGTGTGTGTATGTGCACCTTGGCAGGCGCTGAGCTCCTCTTTGGCCTCCCTCCTCTCCTTCTTCAGGTTTGCCAGACTGCTCCTCACCTCCTCCCTTTCTCTCTCCAGGCGGTCACGCTCGTCGATGTAGCGGCGCATGTCGGCCTCCGTGCGGTTTTTGCCCAGTTTCACTTCAACTGCACCGGGACTCCCTGGGAATTGAACATTTAAAAAAAAATCACAAATCTCAATGAAATAAAGTCACCTTGACATTTGCACGAGGAGCTAAAGAAGAAGAAAAGATGCAGTGATTATTAAAAAGCAAATATTTCCTTTTGAATATAAATATAGATTCCACCGTGAAGCTGACTGCAGGGGATGCGGTTTTTCACTAGAGGGAGCCGTGGTAATTTCAGATTAGAGATTAGAGGGAAGCAGTAAATCTGACTCACTGCAGAGGTAAATGTACATTTGATGTTTTTTGGAAAGTTTTGATAAAAATAGTTACAACTCAGTTTTGTTCTTTCTTCTACTCCTCTCATGGTGTACCAAGGACGGCCACTGAGTGTTTCCCTCTCACCTATGGTGTGAGCTTTGGGCCGCAGCGGTTGAGGACTGTGAGGGAACCCAGCAGTGGTGTGACCCGTCTGTCCTTTGTGTCCCCCGGGGGAGCTGAAGGCCGATGGGATTCCCAGGCTCGTCCTCTTCGGTGTCTCCAGGCTTTGGGACGTGGGTTTGAGGGACTGAGGTGGCGCCTGCTGCGGCGTGGGAGTCGTCGGGCGCGTTTGCTCTGGTTTGCTGGCAGCGGACGTCAAACTTGTTCCGTTTAGGACGGGTGTCGGCTCTGGCTCAGAAGGGTTCGTCGAAGTGACCTGAAATCAACCAACCAAACATAAGAATTAAGTAATGTGAGGAATGGTTACGTCTGTTTTCTTACTTTGAATGTGTTTGGGAATGAGACGTGAGACGACTGTACCTCGTTATCTTGACACGTTGAGTCTCTCTGCTCTTCTTCGTTGACCGGGGGATGTATACAAGTGTCTTTGGTGGGCAGGTTTTTACCCCCACATGATGTATGGAGGAAGGAGCGCACAGGAACCAGGTCCAGGTAAACCTTTTCCTGCTCTGTTCCCTCTGGGTCCTTGGGCGCTGCTTGTGTTTCATCACATTGCTGAAGGTGGTTGTCCCCGCTGTCTGGCTGGATGCTGTCCTCAGCGTCCTGCGTGACACAAGAGCAGGAAGTTAGGAGATGGGAAGTGGCCACATGAAGCGAGTCCTGGATTTTAAAATTGAATTATAAAACAACAAAGAAGAGGCTGCTTGTTGTCTACAGCAACCCCAGTGGATATATATAAATACAATCATATTTGATCATCTTTTACCAAAGTTGTATTTTTCTAAACTTAACAAGTCAAAATATTAAGCCACACGTCTCCCAGATGATTTTCTGTTGTTTTTGGAAGGCGGTCAAGTTTCTTAGTTTGTATTTCATCTCTCTAAACTTGGTTGAGTTCATTTTAATTGTGAACGAACCTCTGGATCTGCTAAAGACGCCACATCGTCGTACAGTTCCTCTGAGTCGAGAGGGACAGCAGGCGGCGTGTCGATGTAGGTGTTCAGCTCTGAATATCTCCTCTGCATCAAGCTGGAGAAACACACACACACACACTCAATTAAAGACTGTTCGCTACATATACTTTAAGATCCATTTCTCATGTAAGTGGACTGAAGTGAGAGCGTTACTATAGGGAAGTCTTGGCAGCAGTGACGATGCTGGAGATCCTCTCTGAGTTGACATAGTCGTACGTCAGATCCTCCGGGTCGGTCTTGCTGCCTGTTTGTGACAGCAGGAGGCCCAGCCAGTGACCCATGTCCGCTGACGTCTTTGCCTGGGAGGGGCAGAGAGGAAAGGAAAAGATAGAGTGAGTCATCATGGATTTAAAACCTGGTCATTTATTTGGTTTTCCCTCTTATGACATTGTATTAATTAAATGACACACAAACGGCTCATAGAAACATATCACAGGTTATCAAAACATATGTTTGGAGAACCATCTTTAAAAAACAGTCCTCAAGACTCAACATGAAATTCCATTGCCTATGACCGCATATGCAGCAGGGTGGTACTGAAGGCCTAATGAAAAAGGGTGTAGCACGAGTCCCCCCAAATCCCAGTTTAGTAAAGCACCCCCACCCTACACACACACACGTATAGTTCATAGTTTGATGTCAGCAGGAAGTGATTTCCAGACGTGGATACTGGCTGGTAGTGTTACAGATTCCTACAAGAAGCTGCACACTGTTTCTCTTTCTGACAGACTTCATGTACAACACATATCATTTTTTGCTCTTTGCTTAACTCTCGAGTCAAAGTCATGTGTCAGTTTGGTGAGAAGCTGTGTTGCTGATTTCCAATTCAGCGAAGGAAAGCATCAAGAGTTTCAAACATGATCAGACTCAACCCCCCAACATCTGGAGAAATGTAACACAAAAGATCATTTACCTCCAGAGTCGCCACCTGTGTGCCCTCTACGTTGATCCTAAAGGAGTACAGGTGCTCTGGGATGGGGTCGGGCAGGATGCAGCAGCCCTCGAGCGTCACGGCCGGCTGGCTCACTTTGTGTTTGCCCTTGTCCTGGTAAAACCACAGCTGACCGTTCTTGATGAGACACCAGCAGGTTCGCCATTGGCTGTTCACCAGCACATTGAGGTAGCCTGACGGTGGGGGGACATTTATGATTTATACTGTAGCCAGCCACTAGATGTCACTAAATCCAATACACACTGAACCTTTCTTTAAAATTGATACGGAGCCGAAGAGAGTTTGAAAATGCCATTTTCAGAAACGTAGCAGGATGGCTGTAGCCTCAGCACACGCTTTGAGACTTCGGCGTCTAACTCACCTGACGTGTCGACACATTTCTCCGGACTCTCCAATGAGGAAGGTTTTTTCTTGCCGATGTTCATGAGGTTACTGAACTTCAGACCTGCACCGTATTTTTTCTTCACTGTGTAGAAAAGAGTTGGGATGTTTTTTATTTTTAGATTTTTGCTTCGGATACAGAACTGTGGATAAAACAAAGTTTTATCGGTTAAACTCACCATCTTTGTTTTCCGATGTTTCTGCGTGGCTGTCTGTGCTGCTGCCGCTCTCTGAAGCCACAGAGTATCTCTCGCTCAGCTCTCCCTGTGTGTTCACATCTACGTTTTAGTCGTTTAGAGGGCATGTGATAAAAGCTGAGGACTGGTAATTGGATTGTGGGATTAACAGGAATTTAAAATTAAACGTACCTTGGTGCAGATGAGCCTCGGGGAGTCAGTTACCGAGTGCTGGGTTTCACAGCTCTCTAACGGTTTGGGGCTGATCTCCTGAATCACCTGATGAACGTTCAGATTTTTAAACACAGCGATCACTCGAGTAATAACGCTGCGTGGTTTGAGTTTCAAGGAGCTGAGACATGTTTGGAACAGCTCACCTTCAGCCACTGCACCGTCTGCTCCTTGCTCTGCAGGCCCAGCACGATGGCCTCCCCTCCTACAGGTGTGATCTTCAGCTTGTGCTCTTTTCTCTTCAGCTGCTTCTCTTTGTAGACGAAGCTGCAGCCCAGCAGACTCACATCCAGCAGGGGCGTCTGCTCCTTGGAGCTCTTATAGCACTGAGGGAAGCAGCGATAACACTGATTTAAGATTGTGCAACAGTGACAAGGTAAACATACGGTGATGAAGTTCGCCAAGAGAAAGCACAGCAAGTTACTCCATGTATGGTTGTATAGAAAACTCTCTACCTCAGACTATAATTAAAAATGCATGACATTTCTCCACTTCCTCGCACGATCTAGAAATGTGATTTGGCTTCCATCCATCTTTATTTACAGTCTACGTCTTTTTCCCACCTGCAGACGTTGGTCTTTGATGACACACAGCTGTTTGGCCCACTGGCCGAGCCACTTCTTCCTCCACAGGAATGCGCAGATCTGAGCGTCCTTCATCAGCTCGATGGACGCCTCTGCCGACGGCCACTGGTGCTGCGCCGACGGTGACTTTCCTCTGGTCACTTCGTCCTCATCGTAGGACTCGTATGAGCTGCTGACCACCTCGCCGTCGTCTGACAGCGAAACACAGTGATGTAAGGAGAGAAGAAATGATGAGGCGTTATTTCCGAGTTCATATTTGCAGTGCAGAGTGAGTTTGAAGGAGTGCATGAGGTTAATGCCTGATTTCTCAACCGTGATCAATGTCTTCGATGGCAGAGGATTTCCTCACATTTGAGTAGAGGCAGGATGAATATGACAAGTTAAGAAATTAAGGAAATTGAGATTAAGATGGAGCCAATGACTGATGCTTGTCACATGTCTTGACTTAAATTGGTTTCTTTACATGCAGGACATGGTTCATGATCGACGATGGTGTGTCCGTGCACAATAAGACTCTGGCCTCAAGCAACGGTAAGACAGAGGCATGCACACAAACACACGAGTCCTGTGATAGAGAGCTAGCTACCCCTGGTGATAACGGCATAGACCACACTGTCAGAGCTCTGCACTCGCATCCAGGGCCCTGAGAGGAGGCCAAAACAGTCCAGATCTACACAACAGCAGCAGCAGGAGGAGGAGGGAGAGGAGGAAGAAGATCAATATTGGAAAAAATAGTTTGAAGGAACTGAAAGAATAATAATAAATGAAAAAGATAAATAGAAGCTCTTTGGGCAATATCCATGTAAGGTTATTCAAAGTAATGTTTATTGCTTATGAGGTTGTGTAAAAAGTAGCAAACAACCCCTAGAACATGTCTGTTTTATAACCATATTATTGAGCAGATACATTTACTTATTAGGCTCAAAATACCTCACTGCACGATTGCAGCCAGATAAAGTGGTTGTAGTCTTTCAGCTCATGGTTTGTCTTGCAGTGCGTGAAAACCACATATATTTTTTGTTGTTGTTGTGTCAGTTTCCCTTTTTGTATCTATATCTCGAGCATCACAGTTAGCGTGACTCCTCACAAGTTTAGAACATGGGTTGGAACATAAAGCAAAGACAGCAAAATATCACAGATCTTATTTGCCTTCAAATGATTCCAAAATGTATGTTTAACGAATCACAAAATCTATTTCCATGATGGAACAGTCTTGCTTGGTGAGTGAATCTCTCATGGTGACATATCTCTTAAAAAGGAACGTGTCTTTTACAGTCACAGTGCGACAAGAAGGATTCAGAAAATGCAAAAGCTCCAAATCACGTTTAAATTCACATGATCCAGATTTGAATCTGCAGCAAATTGAACACACTCATAAATATCAGGTCCCTTAAACATGCCAGGTTTCTGTCATTAAGCATCCTTCCACAAAGTTTCGTTGTAATCCATCTAGTAGTTTTTGCGAAATCCTGCTAAATATCAGACAGAATCGCAGATGAAAACTGGCTGAGGTAAAAAAAGTATTACATCTAACAATCAATATGTGTTTCTGTGAAACAGGACGAAGAAATGCGACACTGAACCACAGCTCTTACCATTCACAGTTTCCTCGTAGGGCTGCGCCTCCTCATAGTAACTCTCCGAAGTGTCTATAGAGGCCGGAGAAGGAACTGCAGGTAAGGGGAACGGCTCCCGACCCGCCATACACTGACAGATGAGAGAGGGATTGGAAAAAAGAAAGGGAGAGAAAGGGTGAGGGATGATAAGATTATGACCAACAACTTGTGTACACTGAAGCAGAAAACGCACCCACACTAGCACATTATTAACATGTGTCGTCCCCCCCAGGCTGAAATCGTGTCTAATCCAGCTGTCACTTCAGGAGTAAGTAGGGAATTCCTCATGTAACCAATCCTCGTCTGACCCGGTGCACTAGAGAGTTATAAGTTTGCCTTCAGGGAAAAGTGTTTCTGTGTGAGCATGGAAAAAAGGGGGGCATGTATTTATGTATATATATATTATATGTGTGTGTGTGTGTGTAAGCGAGTGTGTGTGGCCTCAGTGGCTTTCCTGAAATCAATCAGCAGTCTGGCTTCACTTCTGTCTTCGTCTCCTGTGTGGTAAAGACCGTCTGTCTGTCCCCTCCCATATGAATGGAAACCACCAGACTTCTCTGCTGCTTGAATTCATTTAGAAACTCCTCATTACTTTTGGTCTATATTCAACTCAGAGTCAGTAAATCAGCTCCACACAGTAATTGAAAAAATAAAACTCACTGGAGTCTTTGAAATAGGCAATTTCTATTTCTCATTGATAAAATGAAGAATTTCTTTGAACACACCATAACATAATCTTAATCTGACTGATAGTAGCAGTTTGGATTGTCTGAATCAGATCTTTATCTTCAATATTCACTTTTAAACTTTTAAAATAAGAAGAATTCTGCACAGAGTTTGGTGTATTTGGTTCAGGAAGCCGGGGATCGTGTGTAATATCCACCGTTCAGTTGTGTTTCAGGTCAGTGAGTGGGGCAACACAGTCAGAGATTGCTGGGCTGTTTTTTTCTCTACATGAAAACCACTTCAGGCTCACTTATGTAAGATTCGTTAAAGTCCTCTAGTATTGCCTCACAATCATGCCAACAGAAAGGAAGCACCGGACGTAAGAGTCACCAGGATCACTTTTAAAGTTTGGAATGAATTTCCGAGCAACTGGCTTTACTAACCAGTGTCTTATAGGATGGAACACATCTGGTCACTGGTCAGAGTTCTAGAGTAAATACCCCTGAAACAACCCCACCCCCCTCTTACCTTGTTAAAATCCTTCAGGAGTTAAGATATTTTTATTGGGAAATGTGAAATCATGCAGATTACTCAGTGTGTATATTACTACAGAATGTTCCTGGTTCTGAACTCATAGATAGGTTTCACTTGAAGATGGATTATTGCCTCATGCACTGTGTTGAAATAAAAACTTCCCACTTTTTCCCTAGAAAACTAAAATCGTCTCAGGATGTGACCACACATCTCAAGTCATCACGCACGGTATCTTGTGGCAAGCAGAGGCGGATGCAGGTTTTTGTCTTGGTACACAATAGAAATGAGATAAAATACCAGTTCGTCACTATACAAGTGAAGATTTTTATCTTTATCAGAGTGAAACGTAATGAAGCAACGAGATGGACGATAAGGAGGATTCCTCTGAGGCCAAAGAAAGAGATAAATAAAGTGACACGTGACAGGAAGGTAAAAGAATGTCAGATATTCTGTTAATGGGGCACTCAGTTTCTATGTGCAGTGCTTCTTATATCATATATTCATACACTCAGGAGCAAACTGAAAGAGTGGGGTTCAAACTACCGACTCTGTGGTTAGTGGATGACCCTCTCTAACTCCTGAGCCACAGCCGCCAACTAATACAACAATCAGATTACTTCTTCCAGCGTATAAATGGAATATAAAAATAAATTAAAAAACAAGAATTAAATCCCATTTCACTTAATCAAAAGAATAATTCCATAAATTGACGTCGGAGAAGTCTGACATTGTCGGATATAGTTTTTTTTTCCTCCAGTGAACTCTGTGAAACCCTCTGAGTTGAATGACAAAAAGTAAATTCTTAACAATGTCTAATATTTGCCTCCCACCTCTGATCTGAACACGCTGCCTGTATTCCTTCATTTTTACTTTTATTTCCCTGAAGGCTGTCGCATTCTCAGCGAGATCACAGGAATATGAAATACATCCCTCAAGCGGAGGAGACTCATATATCATGCAAACCAAGCCTTTTGGGAGGGTGTGTGTGTGGGGGGGGCTCAGTGGGAAAAGTATGAGCTCTTATACAAAGTCTCACATTTTAAAAGTATCTCACATGATCAGCTTCTCTTCAGTGCGGGGATGACTCTGCAATCGACTTTGGGAGTTTTATCGTGTCTGGTGTGTTGCAATGTTTCGTCTCTACACATGAAAAAACGAATAACAGCAAAGAGGCAAGCTAACATACTGTGTTTGGTGGATACCAGCCTGTTGTAACCAACAACAAAATACCATCTGACAAACAAATCGTATTTGTCTGTATAAAAATCACAAAGTCATGATTTCGCTGATGTGGCCCATCAGAGACAGCTGTTTAACTCCCAGCAAACAGGGAATCCCCTGCATGGAGCGCTCTTCCCACCATATCGCTTCAGCGCAGCAACACATTTCCAGTAACGCAGAGCAGATGCAGTAAGCTGTCATAATAACAGGCGTCACGTCATGTGATGAGATTTGTTTGTGTGATTAACCCGGGTGCCAGAAAGTGACGAAAAAGGATCTACAGAGAAATGGGTTGGACGAAGATGTTATTCATGCGGTAACATCAGTTATACATTATGGAGCTGTTCAAGATTTTACACAATGCAAACATCAGCAAATACACACATCAGAACATAACATGGGTTATCATTTTATATCTTCAAAAAGATGCAGTGATAGATAGATAGATAGATAGATAGATAGATAGATAGATAGATAGATAGATGCTTTATTGATCCCAGAGGGAAATGTAGGTGTATCTTTGATAATGTCCTTGATTTGGTTCACTTTACTTGTCACCTTTGTTTTTGTGTTTATCAAATCTATCGTCAGTGAAGGAGTTTAGTTATCTTGGGGTCTTCTCCACAGGTGAGGGTCAGATAAAGCTTGAGCTGGACAAGAGGCTCAGCTTTCGATTTACCTGCCGAACTATGTTCCAACCCTCAACTACGGTCATGAGCGCTGGGTAGTGGCCGAAAGGACGAGATTGCAAAAACAAGCGGCCGAAATGAGTTTTGGCTGCTGGGTGTACGGGCACAGCCTTAGAGATAATTTGAGGAGTTCAGACATCCTTCCTTTGGAGGTTTACTGGACATGCCCAACTGGTAGGAGACCCACATGGGTAGACCCAGAACTATCTGGAGGGATGGTTTAAACCTTACCACAGAACAATACCAAGGACAATATAAATTATAAAAGTAGGATATCCAGCAGATTCTATCTCATGTCACTGACTTTAATTTAACTTGATCCTAATCCGCACGATGCAATACAATATGTTGTTTTTGTATAAAGTGACCAAAAATCTGGACGTAATCCATTTCAATGACTATTAACAGAAATGATTTGACCCCAGAAGTACAAGAGACAGCTACACGAGGGACTTCTGAAGAAAAAGTGATTCTCCTGTGAAAATGACTCTGTAAAGAAAGGGGTACAGTCTTTCACAAGACAGTACGAACAGCGTAAACTCCTCCACGATGAAAAACACAGTGGTCTAGGGCATCTGTTATTAATTAAAACAGTGAGCCAGGCATTCCAGAGCAGCAGCAGCAGCAGCCCCCCCCAGACCGAACCACCCACCCACTCTTATCTCTATCTCCTTTCCTTTTCTCTCTCCGCTTTCACTCATCTCGAAAAAGTTGTCTGTTGTTTGGGCTGAGGCTGAAGAGAAGGTCTTCCAAAGACCAGCTGGACCAATATGAAAAAGAGAAGGGAAGGGAACATGCCAGGTGTTTGTCTGCGAGCGTAATTTTCTTTTTTTGCAAGTGCTCCAACTCTGTAGAAAAGTCTCCCCAGCCCTTAAACCTTTAACTTTACACACACAGCCTCACCACAGAAACATGGGGTAGAAGGAATGGATCGTGGAGTCGGAGCATTAATAATAAAGCGAGGAGGAGGTGCTGGGGGGTGCAGGGGTGCGGTGCTTTGAGCAAAGAGTGGGAAAAAGAGCCCTAAAAAACGAACAGTCAGAGGAACATGGAAAATCCCTGGTTCCCATGCCAAGAATCCAGAGCAGCGAAAACACACACACACAGGGAGAGAAAGAGAGAGAGAGAGAGAGAGAGAGAGAGAGAGAGGGAGAGGGAGAGAGGGAGAGGGAGAGGGAGAGGGAGGGAGTCGTCCCTCCATGACTTCAGAAGACGTTACATTGACTTACATTCATTTCCTGGAGACATAATCTAACCCTAACCATAAGTACCACTTGCCTAAACCTAACCGTGGCCAAACTTTAAAACACGTCTTCACCTCAGAGTTTAATGATTTATGTTATAGGGACCTGCTCTTCCCCATAGGGAAGATAAATGCCCATAATGTGACTGTGTAAACAGATTTAGGTCCCCGCAACATGAGTAATGACCACACACACACACATACACACACAAACACACACACACACACACACACACACTCACAGAGGAGAAGGTAGTAATAAAAATAATCAGCTTTGGTAAACAGGATTCCGAAACACTCTCTTGGCTGTTGCTATCTCTGCACCAGTCGGAACTGGTCAGAGTTTGTAAAGCAAAAAATGGCATGAATGGAAATTGAAAAAAAGACAGTAAATGTCAGTTGTCTGGTGGGAGGCAGGGAAAAGGAAAATATAAAATTCACATGACACACATTTTGCACATACTGTATTTATTTTCCAATTATTTTTACTTTCTTGGGAACTTGACCTTCTCTAAACTCGTCATACTTTTGCTTTCAGATCTTGTTTTTCCACTATTGGTAGGTATGAATGTTTACAACTTAAATGTTTAACTATAAATAAAGATGACCTACATGTATAAAACTAAAATAAGTTTGTAAAACATAACTGGATTTAAAGGGGTAAGTGATCATGAATAATTCAGCAAATGCTAGCCAATCGTATTGTGGCCATGATAATGACCAGTTGCCGGCAGCCACATTACCACTCACTGTGCATGTCAACAGTATTCCGTTCCCTGCCTGACGCTTGCAAGTGGCACAGCTGCTATCTATAGCACAACTCTATTTTCAGACCATGCAGACAGGACGCGATGGAACTCCCACAAATCTTAATTTATCGTCCGGTTCTGGGGGGGAAATGGCAAATTTTCATCTGAGTCACATGCTGTATTGTCACTTGAGAGCCACTTTTAGGAAGAATAAAGGCTGAGGTTTAAGAGATCATGGAATCGCTTGAAGGCCCGAGAGTCAACAAGGATATTCATGTTGAGAATGCGACCCTCGGTCAGGAGGACGGGGAGCATCGAGCAGGCTGGGTGAGAGTGAGGGTGGAAGAGAGCTGGTTCACTGTGGAACGCGCCTTGCTGGCGAGGTGCAGCGACTACTTCTGTGCCCTCTTTCAGTCTGGAATGAGAGAAAGTCACCACGATGAACTCCACCTGAAGGGAGGAGTGCATGCAAGGGGGTTTCTCATTGCCCTTTTGGTCTGCAGGGGAGAGATTCCCACCATCAATGACCCGGATGAGCTCACAGAAGCGGTGGAGTGCGCTGCGTTCCTGCAGGTTGGGTGCTTGGTGCAGCATCTTTGTGACATTATTGATTCAGACAACTGCCTCCTGCTTTACTACGTTGCCTCCATCTTCGGGGTGCATACACTGCTCCATAGCGCAGCTCTTTTCCTGTGTGATGCTTTTGATGATTTAAAGGAAGTTGCAGAGAATTCAGTTCCTGAAGAGCTTCTTCACTATTCACAGTCATTTTCTCCTTCTGCTTATATTGCTATAGGCACCCACTCTCCTTCCATGGAGCTTCTGCACGACTCCTTCAGAGTTGTCTGCTATCTTGATGAAAAAGAGGGCGAGTGGAAGCATTTAACTAACCTCCCAACTCTCTGTAGCACCTCCATGGCTGGTGTGGCAGTGCTTGACAATCGCTTGTATATCGTAGGGGGAGTTTACGGTTACGGTAAGGACACAGTGGACAGCAGCTTTTGCTACAATCCGGACTCGGGGGTCTGGACTGCTCTTCCTGGACCCCAGCAACCAAGATATGACTTCACCCTGCTGGGACATGAGGGCCGACTCTATGCCATTGGCGGCGAATTCCAAAAACGGATAATTTCTACAGCTGAGAGTTACGACACTGAGAAGGGAGAGTGGACGATAATACAACAGGCACCAAGACCTGTGGCTTCTGCGGCCTGTGCTGTTGCAAGACGGAGAATGTTTGTTTGCTTCTGGAAACCACCAGACACCACAGATATCTATGAATATGTTCCACTGAAAGATGAATGGAAACTTGCCACCACAATGATCAGACACCAAAGCTATGGCCACTGTATGGTGGCACACAGGGACAATTTGTACGTGATGCGCAATGGGCCTAGTGATGACTTCCTGCGCTGCCTAATGGACTGCTACAATATCACTACAGGCCAGTGGACAGCCTTGACCGGACAGTACATCAACAGCAAGGGGGCGCTGTTCACTGCAATGATAAGGGGGGACTCTGTGTTCACAGTCAAACACATGCTAACTCTCCAATACGCCATCACTGGAGATGGATGGAAGCCCTGCAGGCAGATGAAGGGATTTCCAAAGAGCGGTTCACTGTGGACGTGTTTACTCAGACTTCCCAAGACGGGACCAGTTATACCACAGCTGGATTCAGACGGGAAGGAAGAAGAAATGTCTTTGCCAGACACGTCTGAGGAGTTTGTGGAAGCTACGCCGCAACTGTGAAATTACAGCACAACTAAAAAACAACGCAATGCTTTTAAGGGTTACTAAAATACTTGATGATTGTGGAGACTGCAAAGTGACACAAACTTCCTTCACTTCAGTGCATTTCACTTTCACATGCAACCCTACACAACACACACACACTCACACACACGTACACATGCTGACACTAAGCGTTTGTTCTGATTAGCAACAGCTGCTACTGTAGTTTATATTGGGGGAGGCCGCAGTGTATGTGTGTGAGTCGAGTTCAAAGGGACTGACGGGATGTTCTAAACCTCTCATTCTCCTTTTTTTCCTGAAGTCACACTGGGCCAATTCAGGAGCTGCCGGCCAACCACTCAACATAAAACACAGATCTCTCACACACTTTGTGTTTGTTGCGCCATGAGTGATTAAATACCTGTTTCTGCGGGAGGATACATTTCACGTGGCCTCAGGGTTGTAACTGAGGGTACGTGGGAAATGATTTTGTCTCGTACGGCCACGGACTCCTTTTTTTTAAAAAACCAGTGGAATTCTCTGGCAACATGTGATATCAATCCATAGTCCTTTATTTTGAATACTTCAGGTGCTTAGTGATGTTAATGTTCTCTTTGTAACAAAAAACCCCAAATACTGCCAATTACATTTAGAGTTGGAATTTGTCTTTGGGCTCCTTTGAGTTCAACAGTCCAACCAGGGTGGATTATTCTATTACCGTTCCCACCGCAGAGGCAGAGGCTCAAAAAGCTACATGTGTATATTAAACCAAGTGATTTCACACGTTAATCGGTGGAATCAGATTAGTAATTACTTACTGTTCTGGGGGGTGGCAGGTCAGGGAGGCTCTTCTGTGGGACAGGAACACATTTTGCTGCTTTTCCATTGAGCAGGATATCTGGTCTGTCGTCTAGATCATAAAGAAATTCTGGAGTCAATGCAAGTTACAGAATTCAGAACCGTTCTATTGTTTTACCTGAACATTGAGACATTTTGTATAAATTCAAGAAACTGGTAATGGTGCAAGTTTGAATTGAGTCTGTTTTGTTAACCAGCTCTATTTTTAAATGTCCCGATGTGTCCTACACATGTCAATGCTTCCTACTATCCCCAACGCTCGCTGCGAGCACAAGACCCTTCATTGTAACAGTGACCACATAACCCAAGTCAAGCATTTGTATGGTAGCAACAACCCTATTATACAAAACACACATCACAGTACTGGGGAGAATACAAATCAAGAAAATTAAAGGAGACTTTGGATAAATAATAAAAAGACTATGGTTTTCAGTGGATGTATCCTCAAACCAAAAGTTAGTTTTGCCCATGTCCCATCCTCTAACATGGAGGGGGTTTATGATCTATAGCACAGCTACCAGGGTTCAAAGAAAGTGCTTTGGCTTCACTTTTGGGGCGCTGTTGTGTTGGTTTATCTTGATCTACCTCTTGGGGATGCTTCAACACCCAGGCTGAGATTTAACATCATCACTTTATTTTACTCTCACTATGATTTTGTCTGTTTCAAACATGAACTTAGCGAGACAACTTCTTTGAGCTTTCAACAGTGTAAACAGGATGCACAGGATATGGACATTTAATGTGTTTCTGTGTCTTCATGACGGTGGGAAACAAGTCAAACTGACCTAAGGCAAAAGCTTGTGATTGCATGTGCTGTAGCACTGCCATGACAATATCTAAAATAATTGTCCTTTTTTATAAACAATTATTAGATGGTTAAAAGAGTCTTAAATGTTATATTCTCTTGCAAGAGAACTGTGAGAAAATGTTCTTGCAGTCCAAGACATGTTTGCTGATTAAGAAACCTCAAACCTCACACCTGGGCCTCTGCTTTCCATCAGTCCTTGAGAAAGGAAACCTGTGGCTTTGTTAGCAACGCTGCTGAAAATATGTGCATCAAGTCTAGCGCTCATTCAAACCACATTCTTTCTCACTGTCCAAACAAAACGGGTCAGTCTAAGATGGTGCACGCAGCTCTGAAGAAACAGGCAGGAAATGGTGAGTGAGAGGAGGGTGGGGGGCCGAGGGGGGCTGCTTGTTGTTGCAGCTTATTCTCATGTCTGCTATTCACTTGAATCATGTCGAATTGAGTATGAGATGCAATAACGGGTCGGACCACCTTGGACAGCTTGAAAATTCCAGTTGGAGTCTTTTTTTTTCAATGTTTTATTCCACATAAGGTTCAAAGCGAAATAAAACTGAAATAACAAAATTACACACATTTTTAAATCTGTATAAGTATTAAAGCTCTAGCTAAATGGATGTAAGTGTATCAAAGTACTTGCAAATATACTTAGTTCGAGTGTAAAACTTTTTTTTTTAATACACCAGGCCTGTGTGTTTTCAATGTAAGAATAAAGTCTTCTGCTTTATAGATTTCACACTTCAGATAAGAACCATTTGAAACTCACACCTTTGTTGTCTTTCTCGCCAACAATCACTTTGTTCATGTAGATGTACTCCTCATCAGCACCTGGATGTAGACAGGAAATGTGGTTAACAGTGGACTTTACTTCACCTTAGAACTCAGGAAACAAGAAATAGCTTCTTAAA